GAGTAGACGAACAAGAGAGCAGATGTGGAACTAGCCTATACTAAATTCTTTATGTGGTCTGCTATGTCTTTGAAACGGTCCAACACTTACTGTAAAAGATCCTTGCGTTCCGGGAGCCTCAGAGATACCGCACAGGCAGCAAGAACGACTTGCCATAGCCGATTACGAGCTTCGCCGAGCAACACGGACATCGCAAAGTCAGGAAGGCTGTTTGAGTTGGTGATGATGTCAAGGATTTCCGGTCGACCCCAAACTGTGTCGGCATGCTTGCAGCATAGCAAGATATGGCTGATGGTTTTGGCAGCTGGGCATAAGTCACAGCCGTTGTGCGGGGTGAGTTCAGTCCATTGCTTCTTGGCCATGTTGTCTTTGGTATGGAGCCGTCCACGGAAGGCAAGCCAAAGAAAAACTCGGTGCATGTGTGACGCAGGTGGACACTGCGGCCGGAGTGATGCACGGTGGGGAGATCGTGAAGGACAGTAGTGGGTGCCGCAGCCGGAGTGGCTGGCGGTGGGTGACTCGTGCTCTAGTGCTCTCACGCTCTCCCGTATTCTTTGACTCCCCGCAGTGCCTCTCCCTTGCTTGTTTTCAACACGATTGAAAATTCATTGATTGGAGCAAGCAATGTATTTTGCTTGAAATTTCAGTGTTAAAGAAAATAAATCCTTTGGTGCTCACATTGGCTTTGTCCTTGTTTTGTAGATACAGTGAAACTTTATCGCAAAGGGGAGCTAGCAACAATGCTGACGGAACTGGACATCAAAGTGAATCATCATGACAAGATTGAGCATGACTAGATTTCTGAAGTACCGGAGCAGTTTGGGTTTATTGGTTTGAGACGTTACTAGCAAATTAATTTTTTGTCGCGTATATCTGTTGCTGAAACTGTGAAGGAAGAAAACCCTCTGAATTCGACAAAAAATCCGAGTTGGTGTAGTGTTATCGTGAATCTGAGTTCCTATACTGTCAAAGTGTCAATGCATATTCTGATTTGATTTCTACACTGAAATGCAATAACATGACCGTGTGAAAAGCAGCACTTCCATGGATGATTGGGTGATGGCATGTCTGCATGCAGTTATTCACTGATTTGTTTGACTCCGGGTTTCTATCTATCCTATGGTATGCAATGCAGGGCTGGGCAGGCGGGCAGCCATCAAGGTAAGAAAAGGGGAATCTTGGAATCTTCTCTCTATATATACTATGTTACTATTCATCATCCAAGGTGCAGAATAAGTTATCATCACCCAGGGTGCAGAATAAGTTATTCTTCACCCGAGGTAATTTTATGATTGTTTCATAAATAAATTATGTTTGAAATAAAAATAGTTACATTCATCTTGATTCACTACATAAAATTTGGCATAAGAAAGCAAAAATATACGTCATAAGATTAGAAAAATGCATTTATGTATATTTTAGACTATGTTTTTACATTTGTAATAATTTTATGTAACATAAAATATTTTTTACGATGACTATATATTTTCTTATGATCTATTTTTACGTATAAAATAAGATAAAATTTACGGAATGTAAAATTACCGTGCATTGCTATTAAAATAGAGAGGGGTGAAGAATAACTATTTCTCACTCAGGATGACGAATAGTTAATCCCATTCCCTTTGTAAACAAATAGTACTATAAGGCGTTTTAGATCACTTAAGGAGAGAAACCTGACAATTACATACTCTTATCGGAGGGATGGCGTGCGACGTAGGCGGCGGACTTCGAGGCCACGTGGCGGATCTCACTGGACGACGTCGTGATCTGGCTCGACAAAGATGCGCTACGCCTCGTGCTACTCGATGACCGCGGGGTTACGGTAGACGTGCTACTCGATGACCGCGGGGTTACGGTAGACGCACGATATCTTCGGCAAGGTGAGCTGATCGATCTTGGGACCTCATCTTGTTTCCGTGCCATTTTGCTAGGGTTTGAGAGAGGATCCCAACAGATGATGGGCGCCAATGATGGAAACACGTCGGAGCTCCGAGCGGCAGCGTCCTCGTCAACAGGGGCGGTTGCGGTACATGTGGCGCACGGGAGCATGTCTGCCATGTGTGGCGCATGTCGGCCCCCGCCACCTCTGACAGGTGGGCCTGGGATTCTCGGGCGTGGACCAGTCCGCCATGGGGCTGATGCTTGACACGTGGAGGCGGGCGGATCGGACTGCCATGAGCCGTACGTCTCTAGGGTTTTGCTAGGAGCTGCAGGTATTAAACAGGCTGCGGGACGCCTCCTCCCCTCATTTTGGATCTTGATGAAAGCCTCTCACATTTCTGGGGTCCCGTTGGGCACCAGATCTAGGGTTCCTCAAAATTTTTTGTAGTGGGAGGGAAAAATTCATGGCGACGCTCGATCTTTTTCTCAAGTAGTTGGTTCTCCTTCTATACCCCACCCACCTGATACGATTCATGAGAGTAAAGAGTAACAAGACGAGAGAAGAGGGGTTCGGATCTGGACAGCATGGTCGAGGCGCGAGCCGATTCGATCGAGGTCGCGGGCGTGGCTTTGACACCAACATGTGGAAGCGCAAGATGGAGGCGGGGAACTCCTCGACGACGAGCGCCTCCAGATCTGGTGACGCTGGTGCTGGAAAGTGGGATGAGGCGGCTGGGGGGAAGCAAGTCGCCCCTTAGCACCAGGAGCAATGGGGGGGCAGACGATGGGAGCACCATCGAGCGGGCACAGCCGTAGCAAGGAACCCCACATCTTCTAGGAAGCGTGATCCTCCCATGCACCCTGGTAACATCAATCTTCCTCCCGAGCTCTACCAGATCCAATTGCTAGATGTCCACTAGTGTTCTGTGAGAGATGCAAGAAACGAGGACATCTTTTTGTGATATGTGTTGAATTTTTACCATGGGAATACACTCCTATTATGTGTGCTTTCCAAGAGAAAGGGCAGTGGTTCTTCTATATTCCTGATCACAGTGTGGACAAACAGACTAGGGAGAGAAATCACAATGTGATAGTCACCATCACAGAGGGCTGTGCTCCCACTAAAGACATCGTGTATGTGGGGCAGGGTGTCGTTGCTCTGCTAGATTCTTCGTTGCTCATAAGTTTGTGATGAGAATGCCCAATCCCAAGGAGGTTGAGCGGGCTTTGTTTGTTGAACATGTTAAGCTTAAGAAATGTGGGGTGTCTGTCCAATTTTCTCCTTGGTCTGAAGACGTTGATTTGGAAGGCCTTCTGGAAATAGTCTGGGTTAGAATTGGGAGGATCCCTTCAAACAAAAGATGTGATAAAACTGTGGCGTATGTGGGAGGTTTGGTGGGGATAACTTTAGAGGTAGATATGTCCACCATAAACCGTGCTTCATTAGTTTGGGCTAGAATTGGGTGTCGTTCTGTTGACCAGCTGCCTGCCACGGCCGAAGGTGTATTAGGGGGACGCTTTTACAAGTTTACTTATGAAGTGGAGGAGGTTCTTGTGACAAATCATGTTGAGAACAATGGTGTGACTGTCGCAAACACGGAGGGGGAGGGGGGGGGCTGCTAAACATGATTAGACTCCTAAGCGTAAAAGAGTTGATCAGGAAGGGGGGTCAAGCTGAATCCTCTGATGCCGCGAGGGGCGACAATGATGTCCCTGGTGGCAAGACATGTCGTCTGTCACCACAAGAGAAAGAGAAAGAGATGCCAGTATCCTCTGAAAGTGAGGTTGACTCGTCGCTCCTAATCGAATCCATGGCTGAATATCCTGAGGTGGAAATACAGAATGCCTTGGACTGAATCGTGACGACCCCTGGTTCGATGGGTGCTCTTACGGCACCTGTTGTGATACCCAAGGAGGTGCAGGTAAAAAAGAATCCTATTGTACGTCGTCGTTCCTTGTCTTATGCTGCTACTGCGGGTTGTGAAGGTGGAGGGCGACGTGGATCTGGGCTTGAAGACCTCCCATGATTATATGGTACATCTACCCTCACCTGATTACAGTGATGAGATTATTCTTACTCCTCCACTTGCACTCGAGGCGGTGATCAGATTCAGCAAGCGTAATGTTCAAGAATTCCAGGAGAACATTGATATCAAGGCCATGCATCGCGCACAACAGAAAGATCTAGAAGGTACTTCTCATGTACCTTGTAAGAATTCCTTTGCTGCCCTAAGTAATAATGAGCTATTAAATAGGGCCAATGGGATGGGGGTTATCATTCCTGATGATGATTTTACAAGTGTTGATGTGCTTAGAGAGCTGGAGAGGGTTAGAGAGAACCTTGACGAGAAGAAGAGAGCTAGGGATAATATCCAGGACCTTACTGATGATATTCTTGTGACCAATGGGTTGGGTAAAAAGACTCATGTTAATCTGACTTGGCTAGATCAGGAAGAGGTGCTGTATGAGGATATTTCCTCCGGGAAAAATAAAAAAACAAAAAGAAATCTATGGTGAAGCTGCCTAGGCCTATGACTAGGAGCCAGAAAAAATAGCCACAAGAGAAAAACTGAGTTGTAGCCCTACATTACCTTGTGGTAGGGCTACTAGGTCCCAATTCCACAAGAAACGTTGGAACTGCAGGGGGCATGCAAGAAAGGAATGGCCACCTGCCTCTCGGACTTGATTAGTGACCATTCCCTGGATTTTATTAGGCTGCAAGAAACCATGAAAGACAAGTTTACTCCTAAATGTCTTAGAAAGATTGATCGTTTCTCTACATTTAGTTGGGAATGGATCCCATCTGTGGGGAAATCTAGAGGATCCTATGTGGTGTAAAGCAAGATTCTCTGGATATTGTTTCCTGTTGTAAAGGTAAATATGTCTTTCAACTAATCTGAATGACAAGAAGAGGAAAGTTAGTTGGGGGCTATTGGTAGTTTATGGGTCGGCCCACGAGGAATATAAAGAAGACTTTCTAGTAGATCTTGCTGCTATGTGCAGCAATATGAGTGTGCCTTATATAGTGGGTGGGGACTTTAATATCATTAGGCATGGTGGTGATAAGAATAAAAAGATGTACAACTCTAGGTCTTCTGACCTCTTTACTTTCATTATTATTGCCGTGGGTTTACGGGAGATTCAGACGAGTGGGGGGAAATATCTGGACAAACAACCAGGCACACCCCACTCTGGAGAAGTTAGACCGCGTACTTATGTCTAAAAGCTGGGAGGATTTGTTTCCCATGGTCTCTGTGAGGAAATTGGTTCGTGAGATTTCATATCAGAACCCTTTGTTGCTTTCCTCTGTTCAGGAGGGACGCGAGGCCCCTAAACCTCGCGAGTTTCGCTTTAATCTGGCTTGGATTAAAGACGAAATGTTTCTGCCCACTGATGGGCAAGGAAAGTGCAGCCGGTAGACCCGATTGATATTCTCGACATAAAATTAAAAAGGTTTAAAACTTACTTTAAAGGCTAGGGCTCCAACAAATTTGGCCATGATAAAAAAAGAAAAGAAGAGCTCAGAGTGTAATTGTCTTTGTTGGAAGAACCGGAGGAAAATGGTCCCTTGTCCCATGAGCTTTATGGTATCAAAATGGATGTGTGCCATGAATGAGATTTTGGTGAATGAGGAGATTTTTTGGTTACAAAAATTGCATGCATGCTGGTTATTGAAAGGTGACGTGAACACTGATTACTATCATAAGATAATGAACGGTAGGAAGAGGAAAACACTATTCATTCGTTGAAATTTGGTGAAGTGGAGATCGAGGGTACAGAAAACTTGATAGCGCATGCAACTGAATTTTATAAAGACCTTTCCAGTCCCGCCCTTGGTAACATGTTCCATTTGGACCCTGACACGTGGTCTGACAGTGAAAAACTAAACAAGACTGATAATCTTGACCTATGT